TAGGAAACGATGCACTCGTTAGCAACGAGATGATTGTTAGAAACCGTCATACTTTTTTCAATGATTTGCATGTAAGACAGCAGCAGTTAAAGGACTAGACCATAGGTCTTTAAACAAGGCAGAAGTCAACAGGAAGTGGAAGAGACACAAAGAAGAGGGTCAGGACGCAGAAAACAACAGCGATGAACAAGGATTTCGTGTACTGTGCAGAGTAGTTCTGTGATGTACGTGTATTCTATCAAGTCTATGTCTATAGAATATGCATCGACTTTACTTTGAAAGAGGTCACAATGCATGAGGTCGTTCGAGGTGTGGACAATTACAGATGAGATCCTGAAAATGCAAAGCGTCTACAGATAGATAGGATTGCATTGGCGGGAAATTATACAACGTAGTTTAAATACTCACAAGATGTGAAACTAAACACAAAAAATAGTAAAAGTGGCAAATGCCATTGAGGGAGTGTAGTTTTGCGATGCGCAATCAGCGCTTGCGATCGACATGCAGACGAAGGTTACACTACATGAGAGGAATCAGGAAAAGGAAGGTCAAACGATCAAGGATAACGGAGCAAATGTGAGGAAGACAATTTACCAGGAACAAGGAGATGTGAAAGGGGACGCTATCACCCTGTGTCGGGAAGAATCATTGGATGAAAAGTGAAGTAGTAGACCGACGAAACAGACGACAGATGATCACAAAAGGACATCATCACTAGAAATTGGACATGTCTACAATTGGTGTACCAAAACTGAGAACCTCACCCTGAGGTTCGAACACAGACTGGGGTGAGCTAAGCATGACATAGACATGCGGAAATCACATCAACTGTACCTCTGCCGAGGAGGGAAAAAGTCCTGAGTAAAGGAGCGAAAAGACATAGATGCTATCTCGCTCTGAACGGATGGGCGTGGACACACATATCGATGGAGATGGTCACGGAGGGCTGCAGAGAGGAGAAAACAAGTCGTTGGAGAAGAGTTAAAGTGTAAGACAGATGATGATGGATCGTGAATGCACAACACTAAGCATTAAGAACATGTAGTGAGGACATGGGAAGCAGTACTGAGCAGTGGCTCTGCCCAGCCTACGGGTCATGGCCTACATCTCTCCCGGTCTACTGTCCTGAGTGGGAGAGTTACAAAAAGACTGTGAGTGAGAGCTTTATATTGTAAGTGAAGACTCCGCTCTGGCGTAAGCACACTGATGATGATGCGAGCATTCTCCGACAGTCTACAAGTCATGGATACAGGCAGCGAGAGCGGCGAATGCTGCAGCTTTCAAAACTGCTTATAACACTTTTTTATGTTCCCCCGCTAACAATGCTACGACTGACGATTACACTAGGGTACGAGTCATTTGAGTGCGACCTCACATATAGTACCACAATTTGAAAGTATCGAAATGATATATTTCAATTCCACATAGATTCTTGAATTGTCATATCCCATATATCGCAGCATAATACAAAAAATCTATCACCTTCTAACGAACACGCACGAGACAGAGAAGTTCTATGAGACATAATGAACCTTATATTCATATATACATGACCATAGAATCGATCAAGCATCGTATAATCTTGACAACCTATATTATACGCACCAGAATAAGGATCACCATTCGACAATAGCAGTATGTCATGTAAAAGATATATAGTCGAATTAGCATGCCGACTACTTAGTAATTAAGTTACAAAGATGTTATTGACGTTCTTTCCCTCATGTCTTCTTTCACCACTCCCCTCTCCTAACTCATGAAACCATGTTCTACAAGGAAAGAGGTAACAAGGAAATATAAAGAATCTTAAGGCTTGTCATCCAGTTAGGAAACCTATGCAGATTGTTGAGAAATAATACGTGGAAGAGAGGAAACTATACAAATAAGATCTTGTAAAGGCATGCACCCGTTAGACACACCATGTACAGGTTACACATGTTAATGGGATTCTATGATGTAGGGGACGTGGGGGACCCAGACTATCTAATATTATAGACTTTTTCTAGAATCAGACTGGGGCTTACTCTGTTCGGTAGAAAGGCGGCGCTCACCAGCATCTCTCGGGACTGCTGGGTTCACCTGGGCTCTTGCTCAGACCTTTTTTGGCTACTACTACTAAACCAGCGACACCATCTGCGGTCTGAGTGTCTGGACGCGTCGCCGCTTGCCTGTCCTGTGTTTTTCTATCTTCCTGTGGTTCTCGACTCGTGTGCTGTAGGGGGTAAGCGACTTGGGAGCTTTACACACCTATGCGTATTCACCTTCAATCCCTCTGCTGGGCGGTGGATTCTTTGATATCTTTACGGGCTGCTTCGCTATACTATGACTCCACACGCTATCATATATTATAATCCGACCGACACTCAATGCTTATCATGACTCATCTCGCTTGGCACATCTTTCAATAGCAGTTCTTAGGTGGTGAGCAATGTAACTTGCCTCCTATTACATGCGCAGAGACATAGTTGGCGAGTTCACGCTCAATGTTGTTCGAGATAGTTTTCCATTCACTTCAAAAGAGGCAACAACCGGAAGAATGTGGATAATGATAAATCCCCCTCACCGGAAAACAGAGAAGAAGACCACGACTCCCGTGAAATATAAACAACACATCATTGTTTGTTCAAACAGCAAAAATTAAGTGCGTTTTTCTTTGTGTACTCGAATGTTTTTCATCTGCCCTTTATGGATCACTTTTTATCAAACCCATTGAAAAGGATGAACGAACAGGAGCTCTAAATCTCTTCATAACCCGGATGAGGTGATATGAAAACACTAAAAACGCACAAACACACGGCGTCCAGATCAGTCTGTGCATCGCGATCTCCATTTTAAATCATTTGTTATACTTCACTCCCTCACTTAATCCGTTATCCACACACACTCAATCTCAGCTAATCTGATCCTATAGATCGCTAGCAAACAGCCGACTATCAAGTATGGTTTATTGGTGCTACCTTTTGTCCGTGCGGTTCTACTTGAGGTGGTTGTTCCTCTCGTTAGAGACGCGCTGATACTCCAACATCCTGACAATTGCCAGGAAAGCATAAACGAGTTCGATCTCCAGGTGGGTTCCGACAGATCGCCCACAGGAGACCTCTATTGGGTGAAGTGTGCGTGGTTGGGGTGCCGCACCCAGACCGACTCACCAACGAATACGGAGGTGCTAAGCCCACTGCTGACTTCGAGTCGATGTGGGCGCTCAAACTCTGATTCGAAAGGTCCAGCACACTAACCACTGAGCCACAGCCTCCCATATATAGTCCACGACTTCATCCCATTTACTGCCGATTTTGGGCCGGTGTATATGCATAATAATATTTCCTGGCGAGCCTTTCATCACCAGTAAGGAACGAATTTACAACCAAAGCAGTAGGGAAGAGAACAAGGAGACAAGGAACATAATTCAAAGGTATCTACCACGGGATCCTTGTCTGATGCACGCCTTACTATCATTGACGTTACCAAGTGGAAATCAACAGTGTCGCCAGTTTATTAAACCATGCATACTGTATATGAAGGCAACAAACAAGATAAAATATCGCAATTTATATTTTCCTCGGGAGACATGAAGAGGTAGTCAAGGGTACGGAACGTGTGGGTCATCGTAGATCACTAAGGCTCATGAGCACCGCGCAACGGAGGACACTTGTATATGTGAGAAAGTATCGCGAGAATGGCCCTACTGAAAAAGAAAAGTCCTGGCCCCGCTGCGTCTATGTGCCTGGGGACAGACAGGTATCCTCGTGACCCCCAGCCACCCCCTCCTCCTCGCCAACCACCACAACACGAACACGCACATGATCAATGAGGCAAATGAGATGAGTTTTGGTGCCAACCCCC